TGCCAGTTTGACCCACTGGCTGCTTTGAGCTGCTTCTCTTAGCGAGGAGACAAGGATGTTTTTTTTTTCTACTAGGAGTCAAATGTTCTTGTCATTGTGGCAGTAATCTGGGTCCGTTTCACACAGGATGTTGAATAGTGTTCAGCCTGTGACACTGAAAATCCTCACCTCAACCAGCAGGTTCACAGCAAATAGCAAAATACACTAAACATAAATTTAGTGAGTCGTATCTGTTAGTCCGAACTGTTGAGCCATTTTTCTGATTTGTTTAAAGGTGCAGTCAGTCATTATTTGAGTTCATTTAACAGAAAATAAGAACGGTGTACTCATAAACATACATTGATTAGCTCTGTTCCACTCTGTCTAGTTTTGGTGACTTGCCTTTTGCAGTACAAGCAGGAAGGTGAGTGAGAGGAACAGGCACTGGCATGTAAAGACCGAGCTCTTCTTCAGCACCAAGAGGTGGACGAGGAAAAGCTAAAATTAACTTCCGGGTTCCATGCATTTCTGCTGAAATGCAAAATGAATGCACAGGCTTGACTTAGTGAACGAGGGTACTTTCCGCAGGTTCTGCTGATCATCCTTTTGATACTTTTAGATTAGATTAGATTAGATAGAACTTTATTAATCCCTCAGGTGGGTTCCTCTGGGAAATTCGATTTCCAAAAAAGCACAGCACCGACAGAAGTTACAGAGTTACAGAATATTATATATACACACACACACACACACACACACACACACACACACACACATATATAAATACAGAGACAATATAAATAAAATATACGAAGGGGATAAATAGAATAAATAGGAATAAAAAATAAAAATACAAGTGAATTGCACATTTCAAGTATTGAGTCTATTGCACTGTTGACTATTTACAAAAGTATTGTACAGTGAGGTGAAGAGGCACTACAGCTTAGTTGTTCCCCCCTCCTTTGTCCTCCTGTTTCCCCTCCCTCTCCCCTCCAGAGAGTTAAACAGTCTGATGGCGTGTGGGACAAAGGAGTTTTTAAGTCTGTTAGTTCTTGTCTTTGGGAGAAGCAACCTGTCGCTGAACAGACTCTTCTGGTTGTTAATGGCCGTGTGCAGAGGATGTGTCGTTTTAGTGTCGTTTATAAAGGATGTTGCTACCTTTTTGTGCTGTTTGAGCACTTTAGTCAATAGTGTGATCCAGAAAAGACCAGTGTTTTTACTGGTAAGGGTCAAGAAGCATTTTCTTCTCTAACCACAGCTGGGGACTAAAGTTACATCTGCACTGCTTAAAGCATATGAACTGGTGCCTGTTAGCTGTTCGGGAAGCTAAGTCAGAAGTGCAAGCTTATGTTGAACGTGTTTGTTTGCTGACCAATACATTTAATTGGTGAACTGCAGTTTCCTGAGATTGAAACACAAGGAGATGTCAAAGCAGTTCATTCTGTTGGACCAGTTCAAAGAAATTCTCCCCGAGGGTGTTGCCACATACTTTAATGAACAACAGCTTCTTTTTTTTTTTGCTTTTTTTTTTTTTTTTAAAAAAGAGAGAAAATTGCATCTGAAGCAGTGGTGTAAGCACATAAACACATTGTAACACATAAACTAAATACAGTAGAAACCAGGGCCGCAGATCTTGATTATTTCATCCATTATTCACGTGATCAGATTAGATACAGTTTTTTCTTATTAATGAGCGATTATAAATGTTCAAAACAGAAAAAATACATCTTTTTTAAAAGCCTTTTCATTGGTTACAAATGTTTTAATAGTTTAACTGCAGCTACAACATCTGTCAAAAAACAAAACCCTTGTCATTTACGTGCACAATTAAAAATCTATTTTTTAAACCAAAACATTTTCTTTAATATAAAATAAATACTTACAAGTACAGTAATGTCAAATAAAATAAGGTAAACTAAAGCATAATACAAGTTAGTCTTTACTCTGTCCCTTGGAGTGCTTTCTTCATTAGTAGAAGGCAACAAAACAAGAGTTCTGCATGAGGCTGGATGCTGTGTATTTGGTGTGTGTTCATGTGTATGTGTTTTTGTGCGCGTGTGTGTTTCTAGATGTTTAAGCTTAAGCCATTTGGTGGTTGCAGTGAAGAAAAGTAAGCATTCTCTGAAGTGAACATTATCAGAGCTGAATGTTCTCAGAACATTTTCTGCTGCAGGAAACACATGTTCTGGTGATGCAGATATTATTAATTAATGTTAATAATTAAAGGTAGTAATCAGTCAGTGCTCCGCTTAACAGCCCCAGGTTAGCAGTTGAGAGTTTCACCGCCCTGTGTGTGTTTTCACTGGCACTCAGAAC